GCTTGAAATGACGATGTTCTAAGCATGTTTTATTGGTTGGTCACAAATGCCCTTACCGTAACAAAGAAATTTATGGATCCTGCATCGACTCCCTATTCTCACCAAAAGTAGATTTTCCATAGTATTCCTGTAGAAAACTGAAATGTTTTCAATTGCTAAGTGCGATATTTGGCGCACCACATACAGTCATATAAGGAATCGTGATAATGTGGTTGTAGTATTGCATTATAGGCAGAAAATGTGTGGGTAGAAGATGGTGATATATTCCAATCAGAAATTTTACAATTCAAAAGAAACGTTCTCATTGAAGCGAACGGTATCGCACGGATTGATGGTACATTTTTGTTTTTGTTTTTTTTTTGATAATTATCATTATATGAACTTGAAATTCTTGTGTAGCTGAGAAATAAATAAGTGTGATTGCTTCTTATTTCTTAACGTTTTTGGAGATGACAGTGAAGTTCTGTTATTGGATGATAGGCGTGCAGAAGGTCCATTCAGTCGTGGTGCACAGTTGCTACCTGTTCAGAGTAAAGCTTCGCTTCTTTATTATAAGCAATATAACAGTAATGGTATTGAAATGGTATCCTTGTTCGTAACGCAGGACGAAGAAATTTTTCAGGGAATTGTAAGAATTTCACTCATCTATGCATGTTTTCTTTCTTCCTGTTCATACATTCATAAATTTTTGCATTTTATTCACGGATTGTTTCGTATGTTTAGTTTGTGTAGTTGATTAATTCGTTCACTCATCATAAGTCGAAGACATCTTTATTACTAATCTCAAGATATTTGTTAGAGAACATTCGTTTTGATGGATGAATGAATAAATACGTGATAGTGAGATAAACTGATTTTGCTCACTTTCGACTTCAGTTCATCAAATGATGTCGATCATATTTAGAATGAGGGATTTTTCTCAACAGAGCGTCGTTATTGTGAATTGCAGTTCTTCCAGCTCGAAGATAGCTCAAAAGGTTTTGTGATATTTTTTGGAATTTTCTTTATGCAAATAACAAAAACTTCGTTGATGGTTGCTGAAGCGAATGTGAGGGTAACGCTGCATCCGAAATTGCCGAAGGCGACNAAAATAGGCGCAAAGTTTTAATTTGGAAGGTTCCAAATGAAGAAGAGAACTGATGCTATAATATTTATCGAAATGATGATGTTGGATTGGAATTTGAATTGCATTGCATGTTTGTTACAGGAGAAGGGGATCAAAACGTGTTGATATTCCAGTTTTCGCCTTCAGATTTTGTGGATGATGTATGTTTAGTGACTTTTGCTTATTCCAAAATACCAATTATACTTAACTATACTTATTTTGAAATTTCACTATTTTACTTTCTAATTCAAAATGTCATTTTTTTGTGATTACAGATTGAAAGAATTGTTGAAAAATCCGAAAATGATGATGCTGAACGCAAAATTGCTAGAAGTATGGTGGAACCTGTTGCAGCAATTGATATGGCAAATAAAAAAGTGAAAAATTCTCCGATACCACGTAGAAGTGAAGAAGTTTATAGAAGAGCCTTCAAATTCAGATCAGCTAGCTACGAGGAAACGAAACGTTCTTCGACGATAGTTGAGAAGCGGAGGAATTCAGAATCAAGCAAACTCAGTAGTGCAGAATCTCATAGTGTTGGCGAGAGCATATTTGATGAACATCCCATTAAAGTGATTACCGATACATTAGTAAAGGATACGCAGAATCTGGTAGCTGAAAATGTTCAGCTTTCAAAGGAAATAGAGACAATCGCGAATGAACAACGGAATTTTGAGAATAAATCGGGCGGCAACCAAGGCGAATCAAACTCAGGCCATATGAATGAATCGGAATCAAACCATAAGCAAGGCGATTCTGAACCGGTATTAAGCTATAAACAAAATGGATCTAAGTCTAGATCAAGCAACAACAGCAGTCAGACAAGTGAGTACGATATTATTGGAGTATCTGATGGCACTGTTGGCAGTGATACACAGCCTCTTAGTGATAGACCAAGTTGCTCTACGGCTATGTCACATCAACTTGATTTCGAAACGGAACATCCAGAAGTTAATCGTGAAAACGACGACGAGGATGATGATGTATTTCAATCGGATGATGCGATTCTTCTCGAAGAAAAAGATCAAGATTCTGAGAGTTCAAGCCAGATGCAGATTCATCCATTAATGATTACAGCTGATCGTTATGATGTGAATAGTTCTGATGTTAAACGAAAGGATTTGTTCAGTCGATTCGCCAATGTTGATGACTTGAAGGCAAAAAGAATTTTGCC